TATATATAGCTGTTCCTTTTCGTGAGTCATTTGATCGCCAATGTGTTTGGCTTTTACAGATCACACACACGGAAAGTGTCAACTAGGAACGATGGACTGCCGTCTTATCTAGCTCGTAAAATTATCAGCATGGCGAGCTCATTTGCGGTCAGTAATTAGCTATGTTTATATTTTGTTCATTGTGTCTCACTGAGCTTCAGCATCGACTACGACTCAATCCTTGGAATCACCTTTACACTGAATCATCATCACTCACAGAACCTTGCTGCCTTCAGGTTTGTCTCTTGTAGCGCGCACAGTGAAGCAGAGGATGATTTTTGCGCGGATCTTCTTGTGTATTCGTGAAGAGAACGAACTAAGCTCTAGATAACGAAGTACGGCTCGAGCTGAGCGACTGTACTAGCTTATTACGAGACGCAATCAATAAAGCATAAGTGGTGTGTCGTCGAGCTCACGTTATATACTTTGCTCGCTGAGGCCCTTCGATCACCGGCTGTCGAGTACCGTAGCCATCGACTTAACCGACGCGTTTTGGGCAGCACCGATAACAACCTACATTTAGATGATTGAATTTCTGCTTGCACTTATCAACACGACCCGCGAAACTGAGCCGCGCGTACAGCCCCATGTTACTATGGCTGGAACTAGACGCTTTCTGTGCCTTCCGTCGGCTTTTTTAAGCAGTCACGTAGTCATAGACTTGAAATGGCATTCGCTTAGAGCTGCCGCTGGCCAGTTGAATATACAATGGCAGTCAGCCGGCTCATTCGCCGGCTATAGGCTATCAATCTGATGATTGAAATGTATATATAGTGCGTACTGTGAAAATAAACACCGACAAAAGGCCAAATCAGTCTAGTGGTAGTTCCCTCACTGCCACTGATGTTCCCACCACAGAATCGAGATCAACTGCAGGGGCATGCCGTCGCGCTATTGCATTGATCACAATTGCGACAACGATAGTCGCGATGATATCGATGGCTTGGCGGGATCGTCAGCTGCTGACGAGGCGACCGAAAGGAGGCTCGAAGGGTATATGACGGCCGTTGTTGACGGCGGTATCGGTCAAATCGTCCCGACGGCTGGTAACACTATTGCGTTGGCGAATCAGGATGATGCACTAGATTCAGCTATTAACGTCGAGGGCGAACATCTGTGGATTTCAGCACTTTGGACACCTAACACTCAAAGCGTGTTTGTTTCAATCCGAATAATGCCGGGCATCAAAGCCTGTTTTAAACTACGTACGCAGACCAGATGTAGGCAGAGCATCATTGGTAGGCGGTAAATTTCCACGATTCTCAGAGGGTTTTACATTATTTGTCGGCAATCCTTTCGGCGGTTTCAGTATTGGATTGTTTCGTATATGATGTGGCCGCGCTATATAGATAAGTTTCCAAAGGCTAGCGCGATTAAACCTCAATGTGATGGATGACAGGGTCGCAGGCTGCCAGTTCGGGTTTAGTCAGCTTTAAGCCCGGGAAGCATACGGCTTACGTGCATTAGTTAAAAGGAACACATAGAAAGATATCAAAGACGGTTCCCATTGGTTATATGACCTAAATGGCTTGTATTAGACAGTCGACCAGCAAACAAAGAAAACTAATAGAATCACTAGGCCGTGTAGTGAAGGTAGCTAGGCGGGATGCGTAACTTAAAGTACGTCGTTCACCAGTACTCGATGCTGTTTCAACATAAACGGCCGGCGATCGTCAAATTTGCCAGTAATAAAAAAGAGCAGTAATAGTCACTACATGCGCGCTTAGCATCCCGCATGGTCAACTAGCGTTTTGCATTTTGGAAACGTTTTTAAGCTATCACACGTGTCGATGGGAGTGTCCAGTAATACTAGATATGAACTGGGTAGTGATTGGGCCTGGCGTGCACAGCTCATTCATCACCTATAATTTACTACCCTATAACTGTCAGATCAAATCAACATGCTATATGTGTGTGTGTGTGTGTGTTTATGTTCATAATTAATTTTTGCTTTACCCTATATAGTTTACTTTCCGACTGTTTGACTTCGGCGTCCACGCCCGTCTTAACAATCGAAAACAACAAACAACAGATGGTGATTAAAGGCGTCCAATGTCGATTTGTTCTCGTGCGATAACGTCCATTACTTTCGGCTGACTGAGCCGCTTCTGAAACAGCGATGATAGCTTCCAATAGTACGCAAATTGCTTTTCCTGCCTCCGTAGTAAAGGAAACAGTAGCGGTATATATTCGCTAACCGGCGATTGTGCCGTGGTCGTTTACAATGACTCCAGCTATCACCCCCACAACTAAAGGCTAATTGGTGCGCGCCCTCGACTTCGTGATATAATCTCCAACGCCATTTCTCAAGTAATCGGCCTTCGTGTGTGTCCCAATGAACGAGAACAACGGACCTTCACTTGCACAACTACTACTCATGTAATGGCAGAAGATTAACGAGAAAATTAAACGTCAATTTGTCCCCAATACGTTTAACGTATTTATTATTACAAGCGGGCACGTGGATTTTGCATGCTTACGTTGTCGTCTCCTCGACGCAGAACCCATTACTTCATTATAGTACGCAAATAAAGGATAGCCTATGTTCAAAATCGGACGTAGACATTTATTCGCGCAGGAAACGTGCCCTCTATGGCAACGTTTGACGAGAAAACGAAACATTTACTGTACGAAAACTTGCATTTTTTTATCATCAACTGCAAGCACGGAAGTTAAGCTATCAAGTTACACGCTCCCATTAATAGCACCAATGTGACATGCCAGAAAACAGAACGAATTTCAGCTTTAAAGTTAAGTTATACCCTGGCTGCTTCCATCAGGACAAAGGTTCCAACTTTTGCTTTTGTATGTGCTGTTTCGCACGGTGAAAAAAAAAAAGTTATTCAAAAAACGTATTACATATGTAAGTGTACTCCGTGAAGAAAGGAACCCATTACATCCAAACGTTATGAAAATTTGAGAAATACTTACTCAATGCGACTTCGATAAATATACTCGCATTTTCGGGTCTTCATATTACACGGTCAAAGACTGGTTGGGAGCGTTTATGTCCGCATGTAAAATGCTTTCAGACGCCAGACTTAACCTTTCTTTGAAAACACGTTTAATGTATGGTCGCATTGATGCGTTACGAGATTTGATCTCAAGAACATGTAATTCTCACTACGGATAGAGATAATATTATGAAAGTCAGAATAAAAACCTCAAAAAGAGATTGGGTAGTGCGCTATGCTTGTGCAAATTTTACTAGAGGCACAAGATTGTTTATTGCGTACAAAGAGATCGAAAGTTATGCGTCGCCGAATCGTTCGATAAGCTTAAAACGGCGCCAACATGCGACAACGAGCGAGTTAATAGCGCAACGTTTTTGGTTTCTATTCTGCGACAGGCGTTATGGCCATTGTAACAAAAGCCTCTTGCTAGGAAGTTCTCCTAGTTACGTTGTAGGGGGCAACGAATTACCTGGTAGTTTGTCGTACTATTCGGATGATGGCAGCATGTTGTTACAAGACACAAATGTTGACTAACATTTCAAGTAAGCTCAATAGCAACACTCAGCAAAGGTGACCCGTCTGCTACAATAGCAGGCTCTATACTATTTACCCAAGACGTCCCAGAATATCGCCGCTGCAAAGCCGCTATGAAGATGAGTATAATTTATAGATGAACCAATTTTTATGCTCGGAGCGTATTGACACATTCACATAAAAATGGAGTAGACGAACATGGCGCTCTATTTTGAAAATTAAACCCCATCGTAGACGAAACTCGATAAGGTTAATAATCAACACACAACAATTACTAGTAGATTTCGTTAAATTTTCTAATAAATGGCTGTATGGCCCGCACAACCAACTTGCATCGTTCACCTTACTTCGGATCCTACCACATCTGAAAATATTATGATTCAGTAGGACCAGGTTTATTCGCTGTTCAAATTACACACTCAGCATTAAGATGTCTGCAGTTCACCTCCGCTTCCAACTCGGTCTTCATCGTACATCCCAACTGCAGAAATTAATCCTGTTTTTTCCTTCACTCTATGACCTGAGGTTATGATGAACGTTTCCAATACCATGTCATTAATCACTGGGCCCAAATTAAGGACGCGTCGATGCCCAGTAAGGTAATACCGTATCAGTTGCGAGTCATACCGATCTCACAGCCGGCGTATCGACCAACACGTAAGATGTCTGGTAGCGATGAAGATAGTAGCCTATTGCACTGAAATATTGAGATCCTGCGTCGGTGACTGGGTTTGGGCTAGCCAGCATCGATTTCTGGCCCATGCATGCAGCACAGACAAGGCATGCGAGTCTAATTGAATCCTCTTAGTCCTAATTGGATCTTCAGGATGGTTGGAGACATTTTAGCACGTAAGCTGTGAAGCTATGCGAAGCGATTAGGTGTTAAAACACCACCGGAATATCGTTTACTCAAGAATCAAGTGTGCAGGATGTAGGGTTTATGCTAGTGAAAATAATTAGTAAATATCGTTTACTAAATCCTGTTCTAAAAAAATAAACTTTGCTTCTAGTTAACAGAAACGTTCACATTCGCAACCTCGTTTGATCTTCAGTGTTTCAAGAGTTACGTGGTGTACTATAGTTAAGCATAGTTTTACGTTACTTGTAATTTCATTTAGGAAACTATCTGAAAGCAAGTGGGTTAACCTTGCGTGAGTTTAAACTGATCTTAATAAACCTATGCCTAAACACTATACCTGGATAGGTACGGAGTTAACTTCTAACCAACGCAAACTGAGGTGGAGCTCGCCAGGCCCTTTGCAACCACCTACATTCCAATAATATAACGCCTGGAGCCACGCAGTAACAAAGGACCGTAGTTTTCACAGCAGCACTATGAAACATCGCGAACCGTATCCAATCATCAGAGAGCAAATCTATCAAACAATATCGCTTAGGAATCGTACAAACCGTTTTGAAAGTCTGTCGACAAACTTAAAATGTATTAACCACCTCTCCTAATAAATTCACCTAAACGTGGTCAGCTTAGTCTAGCCACACTACGCAAAAATAGAACCGGGACCTGCTGAATTGTGCCAACCCAAAAAACCTATTGATTCAAGCGTCGACAGCTACACGGACAGTCGAAGCTTTGCCCAGACGGAATAATGGCTCCCTACTATGGGCCCGCCAAGTCATTGAGGCAGTCCTAAGCTATCGGCTGCCGTTGGTTTCTAGAAAGAGACTTTATTTGCTCATCGTAAAGATCACAGACAAACTCGGACCATATCTTCCAATAAGTTTTATTACCGCTTGGCTTCTAGGGACACTTGTGATGATGGTCGTGAGCGACCCTGGTGTCCCTATAACGTTGCAGGACAACTGCTTAAATTCGTTTTTCAGTAGAGCAGAGAGTCTGATGCGAAGGCAACACCGGTAGTGATCCCTGTATTGAATGCCAGTACATGCGTTGTCACGTTGTAGGAATTGCATCTGCAGGACATCGATTATATAGAGGTTCCTAGTAGGTAGTTGTTATCCCGTGTTTGTTTGGCTTGTCATATCTGCAATGATCGACCTGTCATCTAACCCCTTCTGATGCAAACTCACGTATTCTTGAGCGGTACATATGGTTGTTTACGCAAAGAAAAATCGACCATCGTTTCTATGTTTGCTCGATGCGACCGTATTCTCTCGGTTAACGGTACGGACCGGCGATCCAGTGGAAAGCCAACCAGAGAAGTTAAAATGGCTTCCAATTAGATATGTTGAACACTTGGAGAAGCAAATAGGCATTTTCACAGATGTGAGTTTTCTCATATGATAGGCATTATTACACATTCGTTCTATTTTATATAGAAATTAAGATAAATTAAGACACATTGGTCTCAGGGGGTTGGAATAATTCTAAGAAACAATTTATGGCCCTTGTTGCACGAATAGAGGAAACGAATATCACTGGCGTGCGTGTTCAAATTTGAATAGCAAGGGAGAATTGGCTTTTGGCTACAAATCTCTGGCGCCCCCCAAGGCGCTTATATATTTCTCTATCGATAAAAGCCATTCTTGAAACGAGGTTCCACCCGATCGCGTATTAATCAACGTCGCTTCAAACCCAAATCGGGTCGGAAAAACTGCGAAACCCACCCGTGCCTCCTGTTAATTGCCAAATGGAGGTATGTTTATATACATCCATTCGCATAACAGAAAAACATTTTAGAACAGGTACGCCGTACATCCACTTCTGAGAACCGTTATTCTCTCTGGATAATTTATGAATATTCGGCTTCCTTTAAGCCTGCTTAGTTCTTATACTTTCAGCTGCATCTATGGTAAAATATGCCGTTTAGTCACCCGGTTTTCGTACATAGCTAGCAAGCGTAAATATAGATTTTCATCATCTTAAGTAAATAAACATGGTGCCTTCTAAACGAGATAAAGCTTCGCTCAGACGAATACGTATCCCGTACGTTGAGCTTTCAGTGCGCGGTCGTCAACTATATTGAAGCCGTCTTATATGATATATTTTGTTTTTTGCTTGAAAAACACATGATAACTACGACCGACAGCAAATTTCTCAGCTGCCTTTAAAATTCTTGTGATTTCAGCTTAATTATAATTATAAATAATATACGCCGACATTACCAGTGCTGTGGTGGGCTATAGTAAGGCCGATACAATTCAATAGTTGAAAATGCTGAGCATTCCAAATAATCTCGAGCCTAAGTCGTGTATTAGCTTATCTGAGTGTTTCCTTTTTGCAGTATTTGAAAATTAAAAGTGTTTTTTTACCGTGTCAATAAAGGTCGCACGCTGAAAGTGGCTCTCAAACGATAGAGCTAACTATGTAACGAGCAGAAGCGACACATGTTTTAACATGCATTACTAAATCGCATAACGTACATCGTGCAACTGAGTTAATGGAGTTCACAAAAGAACCGTCGAGACGAGACACAAAGTGGTCGATTGAGCTCTTGACGAGTGATCGATATAAATCTTATTAGCTTTTAACTGTTTGTGTGGATGGAGACGCAAACTGTTATTATTCACAGTCAAAATGAGAGTAACCGCTTAATTCAAATGGTTGCAGATATGACAGGTTCAGGTGGTATCAAGATGGTAGTTCTGTTTAAGGCCCGCTGTCACACCGTTTAGCCATATTGTAGATTATCATAGAGTTTGCCCGACTAAAGACTATTTCCATCGGTCATAGCTGAAATGGAGCATCATGGTTAAAGCCGGTTTTGATATAACTCTATGACTGTGCCCTTTTCAGTTGTCGAATGCCTTTCGGGCGCCAGTAGTAAGTGCGATCCCGTTAGGTAAAAATCGTATATATATTTACGTTAGTCATCTACATGTTATTGAGCGATAAATAAAAACTTTAATAGTATATATA